GTATGTTAAAAAAATATTCTCCTTTTCCAACTTTTCTTAGGGGTGTTTCAAATATTGTTCAGATGTTCAATAAATGTTCATCTTTTCTCAATTAGGTTCAAAATTTTCATAAAATGTTCATGATTTTCATTAAAAGTCAGAAAGTTTGAAAAGTGTTTGATTTTTGCAAATTTTGTGCAGGCTTCAAAAAATGGCGAGAAGTTGAAAACATTTCCCCTTTTATCAAATTTCGCTCACAAATTAAAAAAAATCGGTATTTTTCAAACAATGTGCAAATTTGAAAAATTGTTTTTTTTTTGCTTTTCAAAATAAATTGGGGTTTCAAAAAAGTTCCTGATTTTTTAAATTTTTGTTCACAAATTCAACATATGTTCATGATTTTGTAAAATGTTTGCAAATTTTAAAATATATTCACCTTTTCCAAATTTGCCCAGAGTTACAGAAATATGTTCACAAATGCAAAAAATGTACGTTTATTTTCAGAATTTCAAACAATGTTCTTGTTTAAAAAAACGTTCACGTGTGCAAATTTGTTCAGAAACTCCTCCTTTTTCTAAAATTTTCAAGATTAAAAAATGTTTGAATTTTCCATAGAATGTTCGCTTTTTTCAAATAAATTACAAAGTTTGAAATGTTTTTTATTGAATAAATATTCGCTTTCCTAAAGAATTGCGTATGAAATTCCCAAAAATATTTTGATCGGCCGTCTCTTTCGTAGTGCATTTAAACCGTGCTGCATTTTCAAATAACTATTATCTTGTGTTCCACCGGATTTGTACTTGTCCTTAGTGCCAGGATGTGCGGAGTTCGATTCCTTGCGCGCCTAGCTTTTTTTAGGAATTTTATGCCACTGGAAATGGTTCGATAAAGCTTGCGATGCATATTAGTTAAGAAAGGTCATCATCGCAAGCGGATTTGGACACATAGTTCGGACTCACGCGTCGTGAGTTCGAATTTCCCTCTACCACGCGGCGTTTTTCATATTTGTTTTGCGTGTCAAGGGGTTCGTTACCCAGGCTGGCCCGTTAGTTTGGCACCCTATGCGAAACTCCGACATTCTGGGAGGTCCCAATTCTCATTTCATCCAATTTTGTGACTGCTTTAGTTTGGGTCATCTGGTTGACGTTGTAAGTTTCCAATTGGGTGATTTTTTGTTAAGCTCACTCTTATTTCCATTTGATTTTGCCGCTGCTTTAGTTAGGATCATCATGTTGACATTTAAGGTTCAAGCTGAGCTTCGGTCATTCTGTTAGGCCCATCCTTATTTCCATCCAATTTTCCGCTCGTCCTTTTGGCGGTGCCATGAGGTTTGAGAGTTTTCTATCCTCGCAGATCTGATTATTCAGATCTGATGAGTTTACGTTGTTGTGTCAAGCTTGTTTTGTTGGTCTGATTCTTTGTGGAGGTGATATCTTGCATCGATACCATGGTTAAGATATAGTGATTCGACGGTGTGCACTTCTAGGGGATCATCCCCGGCCCAAGTATGTTCATCGAACAAGGTTTCCCATTTTTTAGGATGGGCGACTCAGGGCGCTTTCAAAAACCATTATTGGTAATGGTCGTGCGGGTGCAAGAGTGACAACGTCGTTGCTCCCGTCCAATTGCAGCCTCTTTACCAAACTGTTTGGAGTATTTCTTGAAGCAGAGTTTGATACCGTGAAGAAGGTGTTTTAGATATCATTGTAACTGATAGTCATAGGAGTTACTTTGTATTTTCTTGGATCTTGGTTCCAAGGTTTTAATTGCAACTTTGCAAGGTCAGTATGTACTCCCTCCGTTTTTATTTGTTCCGCGTATTAATTTTGGTCAAAGTCAAGCTTTGTAAACTTTGACAAAGTTTATAGATAAAAAATATTAACATATACAATAACAAATCAATACCATTAGATTCACTATTGAATGTACTTCCACAGCATGTAGATTTGGTATGGTAAATGTTTATATTGTTTTCTATAAAGTTGGACAGACTTTACAAAAATTGACTTCAGTCAAACCCCATTTGCATTAATTACTTATGAAAAGTAACCAATTCGTACAAGCGGCAAAAATAGGTTGATGGAGAGAAAAACAAAAGTGCTAACGAGGTGTTGCGAGTTGGAGACTAGTATAAGGAACCCGCTGTGAATGTTCGCTCTCAAAGAACCACCATCGGGAAAAAACCTACTAGCATGAGGTTCAAATGTATGAAAAAGTTGGGGATCACAAGACACATTACAATCAAAAGTAGCACTTGCTGTAAAGATAGAACCGACCAGCAGCAATCAGTTTCCAGTAACCACCGAGGGCGCCATATCAACGCCATGGCGTCGTCACATCATCTGTGGTTCCGTGGCGTCTTGCCCCGCGGCGATGGAGGCATCCGTCCTACATGGTTTCCTCCATAACCCTGATCCGAATTTCCTCCTGCCCCTGGCCCCGCCCCATCATCCCCCTGACCAAAATTCCCTTCTCTCCATGGCCCCTTCGCATCCCCCTGACCAAAATGGTTTGCTCCTACTCTGGCCCCTCCCCAGCCCCCTGACCATTGGTTTCCCCCTTGCCCTGGGCCCTCCCTAGCCCGCTGACCAAATGCATGCCCTGATGATATTGCAACAAAATGTATGTCAAAATGGGCACCACTTCCAAAATATATAAACTGGAAATGACGCGTGGTTATGTACCTTTGCAAACGGCAGAGCATGGGCATGGTAGCAGGGAGCAGCAGCAGACGATCACCAGGGTGATTGCCATGGCGCGTGCGAGCGAGGACGGAGAAGAAGATGACCGCTTCATTGTCGATAGGACAATCCTGCCTTCCCAGCTTCAGCTCTCAAGAAATGATTCGATCTCTCTTTGTGGCCGGGTTACTCCTCCTAGTTAAGTAGTGCCCTAACAGCAACCACAAGTGTGTCAAGTCAACAAATTGTCTGAACATTTAGATTAACCTAATGTAATCACGATCAAGTGTAGCTAAATAGAAGCTCGGAGGCCTCAAGTCAAGTCAAGTGCTCAAAGTCGTCCATGCCAACACTTAATCTTTGTTGTCAGTGCATCTTAATCATGGTTGCAGGCTTGAAACAGTCAAGCAAAGCTGCTGGCAACTGTAACATACAATTCCTACAAGCTGCTAGTGCCAGTTAAGCAGTTGTACTACTTGTCTACTGGAGATGCTCACTGCATCCGCAACCCGCAAGTCTGCGTTGCACTAAGCAGAGCAGCGTGGCAGTTCACCGATAAGCAAAATGGACATCGCAATTTCAATAAGAAAACCAGAGTGCCGCAGCGGAAGCGTAGTGGGCCCATAATGCATAGGTCCAAACCTGGCTCTGGTAATATTTTCCCCATTGGGCTAAACTTTTTTTTTCTGGGCTGGGATATTTTATTCGTTGTCCAGCCAATTTTCATATCCATGAGTTTTGAACTTGACTTCAGTTTTTCGTGTGGTCCATTTTGATTTTGTAGGATTGTTTGGCCCGTTTCTTTTAATCATGCATCTTTCGAACGTATTCTTAACCTGAAAAAGAGGTTTTGGATCAATCTGTTTGACTTTTTTTTCGGCTATTGTAGATTCTTTTTACGGTGACATTGTAGAAATTTTCAAGCCGTGCATTTGTCCTTTCGTCCACGAATAAGTATACATCTACCATATGGTACAACAAATTGCTTTTCTTTCCCCTCTCGCAAGGCGACTAGGGAAAGCCTTTCTCCCCTCGATTTTTGCCTGCAAGCCCGTGGATCCACCTACACTCTGCCTGCCGCTCAGACTGCCGATGGCGGGAAGAGGACCTTGTCCCTCGGCTCCGGCTAGTTGATAGGTAGGGTTTTGGTCCTTCTTTTTTCATGCATCAATATGGAAGGAAAGAAAAATAATATAAGAATAGACTATTGTAAAAGGTAATAGGAAAAAACAAGCAAATATTTCATGCTTAAATATCCCACGAGGTGCTTCAGAAGAGCATAAAATCCTTCTAAGAATAAGAAAGAAGGTACAAAACAAATGGAAATGTGTGATATGCCATGAATAGTTCCGTGGCGATGTAAGATAGAAAGAACGGGGAGTTAGGCCTTCGGTTTCCTTTGTAGCCATTTCCCGACATGCGGATTCACTTCTATGTTCAGACGGACGGCGGCGCTTCTTCATCGATATAGTCTTCCAGGCTCCAATCCTCCTCAAGTTCGTCCATTCGGACGGATTACATAGAGCTCTGATGTAGATTCCTGTCAGCTCCTCGGCACGGCAGGTTTAGGTTTCTTGTCGTGCGTACACAAAGATTTGGTGTCAGGTTCTTCAGGTCGATTCAAGGATTTAGTGCCAACGACTTTGTCTCTAGGGCCCTGGTCTAGGGATGGCACCCGCATGGTTTGGGTACGGGTAGAGCCACCCCATACCCTTACCCATCCCATTTGATCTTACCCATCATCCGTACCGTACCCGCTAGTGGGAACAATTTATTCTCATACCCGTCAGGTAAATGGGTACCAACGAGTAAAAATACCCACGTTTGAATAACATTAATTTGAGCATCACATAATTATAAACAACAACATATAATCACAATTTATAAACAACAAACATAATAACATCAATACATACTTATAAACAACATCCTATGAAAATCAGCACTTTCTTGTAAACAACAACACATCAAAACAAAACAGATAGGCAGGACCAAGGCCTCCACGTCGCCTTTAAATCGCTATTGCCACCGCCTGCAAATTCTGTGCCCCGCCAAGGGCATTTTAGTCTTTTCACCTTTAGGTATAAAACGCAGCCCACCCGTGGAGAAACCCTAGCCGCGGCCTCCGCCCGCACTCTCTGCTCTCTTCCCCGATCCCCTCCCACGAACCCTAGCATCCTGGTGCCGCCACCCCTTCCTTCCCCCGTCCGTCCCCACCCCTCCCCCGCGCCGCGAGCCCCTCCCTCCTCTTCATCGCCACCGCTGTCTCTCCTCTTCCTCCCCGCTCTAGCCCCTCCATCGTCGCTCGCGGTGGTTCCAGATCCTGCGCTGGTCGTCCCCATGGGTGAGGAGGTGCAGGCCAGACCGGCAGCGTGGGGAGGAGCAGTGAGCCAGGAGCCAGGGAGAGGCCAACATCGGGGACAAGAAGCAGCGAGGCCAGCGGTCCGTCGGGGTGGTTTGGAGGGAGAGGGAGAGGGAGGAGGTCGGCCACGAGAGAAGGAGCAGGCCGGCCCTGCTTCGTCATGGAGGATGTCCAGCTGCTCGTCCTCCTCCGCCTCTTCTCCAAGCGTCCATCCTATCGCAACTCAGCTTCAGGTACACAATCATTCTTCTCTTCCTGATTTTTCTCTCTCCCTTTCTTCCAATCCCCTATTTTTGTTTCTCTATGCCTGCAAAGCGTTTGATGAAAATCCAATAAGGCTGGCAGGGCAGTATTAATCTATGTAAGTCATCTGATTTCTTTTTTCTATTATTTAGTTCCAGTAGAAAATAACAAGTTGAGTGGACCGACTAGCTTTTTGCAATTTAGGTATTGAAGAAGATCATCATGACTGCCTTTTCTTTCATGCCATAGTTCAGGTTTATTGTTCTTAGTTTTTCTGTAGTGGTTAATTTGATTGCTATGGATTGAAGTCTAGAGCTACCTTATAATACTGTTTGAAAATAGCTTTGGCTCTTCACACATGGGAGTAATAGGACAGTTTGTGTTCGTAATTTTCTTTTCTCTGTATATGTACATAGTTTTCAGATTCTATTTGTTTGCTACTGAAGCTTATGTTTTTCTTTTTCAGAATTGGGTGCGTATGAACAATGCAATGGAGGTTATGTTAATTCCTAGAGTCTTCTATGTTCTTTTGTCTCCTGGTGATTACTTCGAGTGGCTATGTGAGGTAATAGAGCTAATACCTTTTGTTTCTTCATCACTATAAACCGTGTTTGATTTCAAAACTGAGAGCCATAAAATATATGCATTGATCTCTCTTGGTATTTTCCCATACGACCAACATTAATCTATGTTGATGTGTTCTATGCCAATTCATTGCCGATTGAGTGCCAACATTAATCGTATATAAAATTTAGTTCTAACTTGCAAAAATGTTCTGATTACTGTGTGTGTGTGTGTGCGTGTGGCTGCACATTTGTGCCGTTCCAGCTGCTCTGTTCTTACTTTGAAAACCGATTTGAGCAGTGGATCACGCGGAAAAAACAAACAAACCGCTTCAAATAAAGAAATACTCTTCTGAAACTATGCTCCTCTTAGGACAGATACACCTCCTGTGCATATGGTTGCAGGTTGTATCCATGCCAAGATAGCACCTTGTATGCATAAGATGGACCATATTTTGAATATACGAAAAATAAATTTATTTAGTTTTTTTGCTGTCAGAATAAGAGCATGAAACCAACTTCCATCAAACACATATCTGCAGCATTATACTATATACAGGGTGCAGATATATATATTTGTTGACCAAGCAATTCCCTCCTTCTGAGTAAACGACCAATATATGATTACCAATCACCCAATTTCCTCCCTATTTTTTATTGCAACATAACATATTGTATTCTCTGTTCTCTAATCTTAGTGTAATCTGATGTGCGAACAGAGATGCCTTTATTCACAAAAAAGCAGACAGTGTAAGTGAAGAACACCTAAAACAGATGGAAAATGCAATTACAGACACACCGTCGTTCTATTTTTCTACAGGAACACAGGTTGCAATTCCAGTTTCATCGACGGACTCGCTCGCTGCTCTAGAAGGTGCTTGGGCTTGTTTCTCTGACCGATTTATTGGAATATCTCACATGGATCTTCACTGCCTCATATACCTATTTTTTATTCTCTCGTCAATTCCACACGGCCGCTCGTCCATTGCACGGTACTAGATGGTCCCTGTTAAGTTAATTCGAGGTACATCCCATCAGGACTATTATTTGATTTGTTGGATTAATTTATTTCAGATAGCTTACTCCAGGTTGAATCTCTTTGTCATTGAAACTTCATTGAGAAGATAGACAACAATAAACTTTGCAAATGCGACCCTAGCTGTTCCAATATATTGCCATATTATGGTTTTGTTTTATTTTTTATTGCTTCCTATTGTTTGCTTTGTTTGAACTGCATTTTATAGCCAGTTTTTTTTTGTTGCTTTTATTTTGTTTAGGTTGGTTCTAAACCATTAAAGCAGAAAACATACTGTTTATAAGAAGTACATAGTATTGTAGATTTATGTTCACCCATTATCCAGAACGTTGACCTGGAGTCCTCCTTTTACATATTTGGTCTTCTTGGAATCAAGCAAAAATTACTAAGAAGCACATAACTGATTATTTCTTCTGCTTAGCCTCATTTCTGTTATGCACACAGGTGGGTAAGGTTTGAATCTCTATAAGACTCACAGTCAGGTGCCACTAGAGGCATATTATTAAGTGCGTGTCTATTGTTATGAGTTTCAGTTTTCGACTCTATGCAATTCTTGGTGCAAGGGCCCCCGCTTCCTTGTTGTGACGTTGCAGCCTTACTGGCCCTTCTGCAGGTATGCTAGCTCCTTCTCTCCTCTTCTTTCATACTGATGCAAAAGGAGAGGTGCAAATCTGAAGATTATCCAATGAGGTATAATAATTGTTAAATTTGCCTATTTTGGCCCTTTTGCGGGCAAGAGTTATGTCCAGATGAGCTAACCCTTTACTATCCAAACCTTTTGAAGGTCATTAGCTCTGATTCTTTGGAAAAAAGGTTGAGAGCTATACACAACAACGCTAAAGATGGAGCAGCCTGCCATGTATTAGGGCATACGCATTTCTGTTGGGATTATGCGGTTGACAATATCAGGTACTAATCTAACCATTCTCTACAATTGAAATGCACAATTCTTATGCTAATGAGATAGGTCTTCCAAAACAGGTATGTACAAGCGCCTCTGGCATACCCTCGAGAAAGAAAGCGAAGGATAAATGGAGGCCAAGGATGGTTGCCGTTTTTTGTATATTGTGATGGCTTCAACCCTGAAACAAGAATAGAAGGGAGCCTGAGAACACTCAGCTTGTGCCATGGTTAGCCAAATATTTTCAAAGTACTGCAGATCCCCTGTGTTTGCTAAACAAACTAGATAGTTTGTGTATGAGAGCAATTTATTCCTTTCAACTGCCATTATGTGTGCACAATTTCATCTTCAGTTCTGAAGTACATCTCTTCCATTCTACTTCAAGTTAGGTGTATCTCAGTAGGTATCAGGAGGATAGAATAACCAATACCCTTACTGGTCATTTAATTATGTGCAATATGGATGATCACAAATTATTATGGGTTCTATACACCGAATAATTCTTTCACTTTTCTGTTTAATGTAAAAAAATAGTTTTTCTATTGTTATTGCTTGATGTTCTGCAAGGTTCGGGTTCCTCTTAATTTTCTGGCACTATTGGTTTTGCTTGACAGTTATTTTGGTGCTTTACATCTAAGTTTAAATGTAGGCAGTCTGACTATTACAACAAGACAGAAGAGAGCCGGAGAACACTCAGCTTGCACTGTGGGTTGCCAAATATTTTTCAATATACATAAATTTTGCTCGAGTGTATTGTACACCAAAATCATGAGACCTCCACACATAAATTTTGCCCAGACTTACTATGTTCCTTGAAGTGTAAGCATTTGAAATTCTTGATGTGTTAGGAGTTTCTCATGTTTATTCGCCACTTTTTAGTTTTCTAAATCTTTTTTTGTGCTGTCGGAGAGCTATTGTGTGTCAGACTGTTGTCATTAACATGGGACAAGCCTATTATTTATTATGTTTGGGTCTAAAGTTCTATAAACAGATCGGATCGACGGGTAGTCAGATCATTTGGTACAACAGAATCAGTGAGCAATGAACATTCAGTCCTGATAAAGTCTGGGTCGTAGTAGCCTTGCCACGACATGAGCTGCGATGATACCAAATTCCTCTTAATCAAAGCACCACTTTGAAGTCAATGAACTAGGCACAGTACATCCCTGTGTTGCGGTCTCTGATGCAAGATGAACCATAGATTGTAGCCAAGGCATCAACCATGTCTACTGTGTTTGCTTTTCTCTGATACAATTTCACATTTGATTCGATGGTTTTACATTATGGTGCAGGCGTCCTTCACAAATCATTACCATGTTTATCGACAATTTGTTATTTGCGTTATTTGTCTGAACCAGTAAAAAGCTAGAAATATCTTTCCATTACCATAAATGCATCCTTCCTTTTTATGTACTGGAGTTTTTTTAGGCCATTGTACAAAATAGGCGCCAATGCAGTTATGGACGGTAAACTCACAATGATGATTCTATCTTCTTTAATATCTACTTGACGATTTTGAAAGTTCAATTATATATGTTCTGTGCACTGATTTTTGTAGACTGTTTAAATATATACCAGAACGCAATTTCTAGAATTCGAAGTTAATTGTATTTGCTCTGTTTTGGCAGCTCTAAGAGATAGACGGAGTTCTCAACTGGCTGGGAAGATTTGACAAGATATGTGGAGATGGGGCACGGGGAGGGGAGGGCGAGTCGGCCTGGAGGCCCCGGTTGTGGCTTCGACTAGGCAGGCCTGGGACTCGCGGTGGCGGGCGGCCTCGCGCTGGAGCTGGTCCTGGCGGGCGGCCTCGGCCTCGTCCACACGGACTTCTCCTGGTTGTCGAACCGGTCGAGGTTGGAGCTCTTCTTCTCCGTATCAGTGTCACCGTCGTTTTTTCTTTTGCATGCGTTGCTCCGGCCGGCTTTGCTTTCCATGTCCTCCTGCTCTTCAATTTTCTTGTTCTCACTTCTCTTTATCTTGTTGCTGCAGGGTCATCCAACTTCTTGTTTATTAGGCTACTGTTTGATAAAATGTAAGATATTTCTGTTTGGAAAGGTAAGATATTTCTTGCTCGTCTGCTGTTTGATAAAATGTCTCTGAGCTGAAATGTTTGTTCATCGCTTCTTTCTCTTCCTGTCCAGGTTTCCTGACGTCCGGACCGGTCATACTTTTGCAAGGTTAGATGTGTTCTTATTGATGCACTTCATTGCTTCTTGCTACATGCTCTGTTTGCTTTGTTTCATGGCCTATCACTTGTTCTTGTCTGGTGAGATTATGGTGCGTCTTGTCTTTTTCTAATGCTGTCAGCCTTTGTCTCCTTATTAGCCTGTTAAATTATGTATATGGGCTCACGTGTAAGCAAGCTGAGTGGGTTATGCAGGCTACTGTGTAAAATGTGCATGCATAACCGCCTGTAAAGGGGTCCAGTATATCATACAAAGAGCAGCCGCAAATGCTTATTATGTTCCATTAAAGCAGATTAGAAGATTCTTTAGTTTGGGTAATTTTATTAATTGCCTTTTTTTCTCCTAACTGACCGAACTGGCTTTATCCAAAAAGAAAACGAGGAGGCTTGATTAGCTTAGAGAAGAGAATTTTTTAAAACACTGTGGTTATAGAGTTGTGCTCGGTTTGCTTCTTTTGGTCATTCTTGATATAAGCAATTGGGTAGCATTGCTGTTTACTCATATAAGGAATGGATTGCTGGGAATGAGTTTATCAGAGCCTACTGGAATGCACGCCCTCTGTCCCTGTTTTTGTCTCTGTAACTTGAGAATTGTACACTTCGGTATATAAAGTTAGTTGCTGAGTTTACATGCAGTTATGAAAGTTAGAGCACATACATGCTTGATTTTACTTCCTTTAATACAGGGCATTCTATAATTACTAAGAACTGATTTGTTGAAGTGTGCATCCCTAATTTGTCCAGATACATGCGAGGATTGTTGTGTCCAACCTGCACAAGAATGCCAAGAAATCCTCAGAGACGTAAGCCACGACGCATGTTTCTGCCATGATTTCCTTCTGTTGGATTTTGTGGATTTAGGTGTTCAAAAATTATGGGCTGTGGATGCAGGATTAAGGACATGTACCTGCACTACAACGAGAGATCTGGGCTGCTTCTTTGTGGCTTCCAAACTTGAAATGTTTGTTTGGAAGTTAGTTTAGTTTTCTGTTATGGATTCACAGCTTCTCACATGTACCATCCTCTTAGACCTTTAGATTTCCAAAGAAACTAAATGAAGATATCATGGTATGGTCTCAATAGTACAACTTAAAGCTTTTCATGCTTTATATTTTCTCTGAAATTTGCTCTTGAATGTACCATCCTCTTAGACCTTTAGATTTCCAAAGAAACTAAATGAAGATATCATGGTATGGTCTCAATAGTACAACTTAAAGCTTTTCATGCTTTATATTTTTTCTGAAATTTGCTCTTGAAGAATCATGTATCTATGTTAGATCCGGTGAGAAAAGGCGGCTTCCAAGCAGAGGATGCGGGAGTGTTGGCCACATTTGGTTTTCAACTTGGGTGTCTAAATGTTCTCACCATACTTGGCTTCCTCTCGGCCTTTGCGCCATTGGCGCAACGAGTCATCTAGTCAAAACAACAACACATAGTCATAAGCAGTAGCACATAGTCATACATTTTAAGTTCAAAACTCACGACAAAGTGTACAGGTAATTTGTCAATATTCGTTAGATTTTATAAGGGTACATGGGTATGCGGGTGTGGGTTATGTGATCTCATACCCGTACCCGCTCTCCCTGATGGGTTTGAGATTTGCCTATTTTCTTTACCCATGGGTAACGTTTTGTCTCATGCCCTTACCCTAATAGTATTTTTACCCGTAGGATACGTGGGTATTGGGTACCCATTTGCCATCTCTACATTGGTCCTTAGGGGCACGTGCACGAAGACTTCATGGTTGTCAACGCTAAGATCAGGTCGACTTCAGTATGGGAGCGGTGACAGTGGCGCATCGGCGGCTCGTTCTGCGGCGGCAAAGGTCGTTTGGTGGTCCATGGACCTCGATGTATTTTTTATATATTATTATGTTTGTGCTGCTTTGTGCTTCCGGTGAATCTTTATTTTAGTATAAACCATTTCGCATAGAAATCATATGTCATACAATAAAATTATAAATTTACATTTAATTTGCACGTTGACATGCAAAAGAAGAAGGCCCATTATACTGTGAACACAATTCAACTTCAAATTTTGCCGAGCTGACTGACTGTTTTTTCTTTTATGATTTGAGGCAACTACAGCGGGCAAAAGCCAACCTGAACATATTTTTTATTTTTTGAAAACAAAAAGCAGGATCAGATATCGTTCGATCAGTAGAAAGGAGATCGGCCGCCAAGAATATATGCAGAAGAAGTCACTGGCTTGCCAGAGTCACCCATTTGCATTAAGACGAGAAAAACAAAAATATTGAAGAGACTTGCGAGTTGGAGCACCAGTAAGAAACCAATTGTGAATGTCCGCTCTCGAACAACAACTACGAGAAGGAATAAAATTACTAGCAAGAGATACAAATGTTTTAAAAAGTTGGGGACAGCAGCACAAATTACAACCGAATGGCAGCACCTGCGCCAAAGGTAAGCATCATCCAAACCACCCCTAGGAAGAGCAGCAGCCATCAGCTTCCAATAACCGCCGGGGGCGCCAGATGAACGCCGTGGCAGGAGGGAGTCATCACATCACCTGTGGTTCCTCGGTGTCTTACCCCGCGGCGCCGGAGGCGTCCGTCCTACTTGGTTTCCTCCTCCCATCCCACCCCCCTGATAAACGTGGTTTCCTCCTCCCCACGGCCCTGCTTCCCCACCCCCTTGATCAAATTGGTTTCCTCCCATCCCAGGCCCTCCCTCCCCACCCCCCTGCTCAAATTGATTTCTTCCAACCCCTGGCGCCCCCCGTGCCCCCTCACCAAAGTCACCAAATGCATGCCCTGATCCTGATGCCATCATAACATATGTCAAAACGGGCATCCACTTCCAAAATGTAAGAACTAGAACCGACGCTGTGGTTGCGTACCTTTGCAAACGGCAGAGCATGGGAATGGCAGCAGGGAGCAGCAGCACACGATCACCAGGAGGATTGCCACGGCGCGTGCGAGCGAGGACGGAGAAGAAGAAGACCGCTTCATGGTCGATCAGACTACCTTGTCCTGCTTTCCCAGTTTCAGTTCTGAAGAAATGATTCGATGTCTCTTTGTGGTTGTGGCTGGGTCACTCCACTCCTCCTAGTTAACTACTCTAACTGTAACGACAAGTGTGTCAAGTCAACAGATTCTCTGAACGTCTTGATTAACGTAATTAACTTAATCAGGATCGTCGATGCCGCCATTGAAGAAGGAAATCTAATAGCTGCTCGGAGACCCCAAGTCAAGAGCTCAAAGTCGTCTCTGCCGACACTCAATCTTTGGTGTCAGTGCATCTCAATCCAAGTTGCAGGCTTGTACCAACCAGTCAAGCAAAACTGCTGGCAAGTGCAAGTAAACTAGAATTCGAGGCCACCAAAACGTATGTGGTACAGTGAATAAAAATATTTACTGCCACTACTGCTACCACTCCGCCTCCGCTACAAGCTTTTTTTATGCGAATACGCAAAGCTTGCGTATCATTCATTGATAGATGGAAAATAGCATGAGTATATAATAGGGTACAAGACATGTCAGTATGTCACGAACGCATATAGAGGGGTGAACATGGTGCCCAACATAGAGAGACATGAGAAAGAGAAACTCACCCAAGCAAAGAAAAATGCAACTAAACTCGCCGACTAGAGAAACAATCCGACCAACAAAAAGACAAACGACATCTCCGAAGTCAGCACCAAGGACGCCGCGAGCAAACAAGACAACACCTTCACGAAGGAGAACGACACCAAGACGTCATCGCCGCTGTCCGATCCGGAAAACCAGAACTAGGGTTTCCCCTGAAGCTCGAAGAGGGGCACAGATCATGGCCATGACAGCGCCTTCAAGAAGGGAACGACACCCACAAGTATCGCTGTTGCCAGCACAGAATGCAGGATTTCACCCTGGCCAAATTCTGAGCAATCCCAAGCCGTCGGAGAAGAGGAAGTCAAGTATAGGCCGGAATTGCGACTGTAGGAAGGGGAGCCACGCCCGACGCCGAAGGAGGCACCGGGCGCCGCCGGACGTGCGAGCTCCGAAGGAGGATAAGGTTGTGTGGCTGAGCGGAGTGAATGGCGGTAGGCTGTGTGGCCTCCACTACAAGCTGCTAGTGCATGAACTGCAGTCGACTGATAGGTTATCCTAAAGCCACAACCCTGAAGTCGGCTGCACGTTTAGTAAGTCTGCGTTGCACGCACGGCAGTTGGCTGATAAGTAAAGGTGGAAATCTCAACAAGAACAATGTTATCAGAGTGGCGCAGCGGTAGAGTGGTCGGCCCATAACCCAAAGGTCCCAAGATCGAAACCTGGCTCTAGGCTTCAGTTTCTCACGTGGTCCACATTTCGCCTTGTAGGATTGTTGTTTTCACTGATTCTTAACCTGAAGAGGAAAGCAGAGTCTTGGATCAATCCACTTGACTTTGTATTGTAGATTATTTTACTGGTACATTGTAGAAATTTACAAGTTGTGCATGTACCATTGTTAGTGGATTGGTGATTGTGACTTTGTGAGTGGCCATCAAGACAATGTAGCACAGGACACACACACACACACTCAAAACCCTACCAGTGGTCGAACCGGTAAGGCCTTCGGTTCAGGCTTTTACTGGTCGGACCGCTGGTTCACTGGTTCCATTGCTGGTTTTACAAACAATAATATATTTAGAGTAATAATATGCTAATATAGAATTGCAAATAGGGTCAAATAGCAATGATTTCCTCTATTGGAAAACAAAGAAACGCGGTTGAGGTGATTATCAGCCCAAGGATAGGTCAATGCCCATGACCTAAGATCAAATCCCTTGAATCCATCTACTTGCAACACTAGTTTGACAACTCGGTTTATTAGCCAGTTTCATGGGGAAAAACAGTCTTATCGGTTCTCATCGGTCTAGTTTCATATCGGTCCTTTGTGCTTAAAACACCGTTGGGATTGTTGGTTCTGGTTTTTTCCGGTCCGACTCACAGTCCGGTCCGATTTCTTAAACTAAGACACACGCCGGAGACGATCGATGATAGAAGTAGCACCAAACAGAAGAGTGGAACACACACGTGTGCGCACATG